TAAATTCGGTTCGATTCCGAGTACTTTTTCTCTGGGTATCGATGGTATTGAGTACGATTCCGAGTACCAGATACGGTCAAAGTCCAGAGGTGCTTCCAGCCAGTTACTGCTGCTAGAATTGACCAGGAACACTAAAAGCAAGCTTCATTGTTCACTTCTTTACTTTTTCACCATCTCAAAGATTCAAACAACCATCCAGAAAGACTGAGAAAGTTCAGAGAGCAGCTGGAGAAGCATTATTTATTATTCTGGGTGTTCATTTTTTTAATTAAAAATATTTACATTTTAATTTTAAAATTAACTAGTAGTTTGTTAACTATTATTGTAGTTAAGTGGGCGTGGTTGTACTTGGAATCGAATTTTTCGATACTGGAATTGCTTTCGATACTGTTTCGATCCTGGGTAGTATCGAAGTATCGAGTATTTTGGTATCGGTATCGAACATCACTACTAATTTCTGGACATGAATTTTTCAGCAACTACAAATATTCCACTCAAACTTTTAATTTCACTTGCTGCGTGGGAGACTGACTTCCAGTATCCACCCACTCATTTACTTCAAACTCCTACTCCTATCTAGCAAACTCCTAGTCCTACTCCTACTTTTATCGGAACCCAAGTTTACAGTACATATACATGTATCAACATACTAAAATCTTGCCCACAATTTTTTGTGCATAAAAACTAAAAAATATTTTACTTTTCTCTTCTCATCTTTAGACTCTCTAGCATTGTCTGCCTTCAATGATTCCTCTTCTCTGATCATAGCATCAGTTAATGTAGAGTGCCCTTGATAACCAGTGTGGGTAATACTGCACTGATCTATCATAACAAGCTTGTCACACTGAGAGTAGCTGGTGTGGACACTTACCTATTGAGTATATATGACTAGTGGGAGGTAGATTATATAAACCAATAGGACTGGAAGGTATGGATCCAGTAGGTACTTCCACCATTCTTTCCTCATTATCAAGGAAAGACATTTCTTGCAAAGCAAAAAGTCGAGGAAGTTTTACTTTTAAGTTGTCAGGCTGTCAGCTGGACCTGGTTAGCCCGCCTTCAACACACGTCAGATTCACGTGACTAGATCTTTGCGCATGCGTATTACGTATAGGTTATACACCGAGGTCGAGGTTTCTATGGGATTTATTGACCGAGGGACGCAGTCCCGAGGTCAATAAATGCCATAGAAACCGAGACCGAGGTGTATAACCGTGTTCTACCATGCGTCCAATCAGATTAGATGCATTTCTTGTAGCTAGGATACACAAAAAGTATAAAAATCCTTACCATTAGCAACCAATTCATTTTAAGTCACGCACTAGAATGGAAAAGCAACTAGGTAGACATGCTCGTCTGTTCTCAAAAGATGCGACTAACACAGCCGCATTGATAGCTCTGGAAACGCCTATCTCATCATTTTATGACTGCCCCGCCTACTTCATTAGTGCTATACCATCTTGTTTCGCAACGGACAAGGATTTAAAGATGCACAACAGCACTGTGCGCCATGCACAACTAAAAAAGCAATATAATGGGTAGAAAATATTCTGAATGACTGGTGCAAGGAAAGAATGAAAGATTTGGAGAAGCTACAACCAGGCCACTCTTCTTAATGGAGAAATACTGTTTAAAATGTTTGCTGCAGCAACTGGGGAATCGATGGTTACAAACAAACCACTCATTTCGCGGCGTGACTGCTGCTACTAGACTATTTCAAGCTGGTGTTGATGAACAATTAATCATGAAAAGAACAGGTCACAGAAGCACGGATGGTGTACGAATTTATAAGCACATTTCAGATCAACAAAATGCCGGAAGATGTTTCCTCAATAATATTATTACATGATTACAAACAAAAACAGCAGTAGCTAGTAACGATATCAGTACCAATTCACCTCATCCTCCAAAAGCACAAAACATATCTCTAGATGAAGACAGACACTTCAGCTTTAATAACTGCACAAACATACACATAACAATTCAAAAATAACATTACTATTATTGCTGTCATCATTTTTATTGCTAAAATTTCCCCGGCAAACTTTGGCAGAAGTATCTAAATAATTTCCCGGAGGTTTCTAAATATTTTCCCGGGGTATTATAAGTGATTTAGACACCTCATATAATGCAATCTGCAGAGGCGTATTTAGGGGGGGGGCTGAGGGGGCTTGAGCACCCCCCTCAGGGCTGGGCTCAGAAAAAATTACTGAAGTCCAGGACTCTTGCATCACTACCAAGCCTCTTAACAAAGTTATCTAGCCCCCTGATCATGATTTCAGCAGTTTCCAGTGCTTTAAGGAGCAATCAGAAGTGCCAGTAACATAGCAGTATGCTTGAAATAATCTTGGCCCCACCCGCAATTGACGAAAATGCAGGAAAAGGCTGTTTTACCGCCGTAAAAGTGGGTGTGGCCAAAATCGCGGCGCGCTTCGCGCGCCCTCAGCACCCCCCTTCCCCAATTCCTAGATACGCCCCTGATCTGATTGGTCAATTCAAAACAAGCATGGTAGAACATAATTTACTCAACATAATGTATTGCAGTACACACCCAAGAGTTACCATGCATGATCCGTGAATGATGGGTATCAGGCCTGGACCAGGTTTGATTCTATAACGGTCCAGCATCGACGGCCATCACTGCTGAATCGAGGCTGTTGCTCTGGCCTGGACCAGTATCTATTTCAGTCCCGATGTAGTCATAGCTGATACAGTAATGTCTGTTCGTCAGTACTGGTCCAGGCTGTATATCAGTACTGGATCAGATCGATGCTTTTCAAGATGGCAGCCCCGCGTGGACTATCTGACATGTTTTGTTAAAGAAAATCATCTTAATCTGACTCTTTAAGAGAAATCTCGTTGGCTGTATACACTAGGGCTAAATCACTGGATGTTATGTGAGTACCGTGGACTACATTAAATGTTATACTATTTTTAGGCTATTTTGAACCATTTATTACTTAAACATGAGTAGGATACACGATATTTTGAGTAAAAAGTAGGCACATGTAGATACATAATCAAGCTAAATAAATTAATTGAACAGATACATGACTGGAAAATAAAACGACTGACAACTTCCAATTAAAGTTTACCACATCTTGCCTACAAAATCTCTATGATACGAAAGTAGAGACCTGGGTTTATGAGGAATTATCAAAGGGGTATAAACTGCATGAACAAACTTATAATAAATTTAGGCTAATTATTATTGTGAGATTAATGACTTCAATTTAATTGACTATAATTAGAAGTACATACCTTTCATTATGGATTCTCCGTTAACTTTCTAGTATTGAGCCAAACATTGAAACAGAGCGAAGAAGACCTTTCTGCAATAATCATGACACTAGTGAAGACGATGAGAAATCAGGCGTAAAATTGGTTCACTACATGTGATTGTAACTATGTTTTTAATTAGGGTGAATGTATTAGTGATCATGATGATGAAGATATCGTACTGAGAGACTTATGAATGATAGTCACAAGTGTGGTAAAATAATTTATTGATTATGTGTGTAATTGTTACTTTTCCTTAGAATTTTTGATGCGGAAGATTATTCTGGAAATATTAGTATAGTAGGTGCTCCTTTAATTCATATTAATTTATTAATTTAGCAAGGCCACTAGTATACATTCTATAGTTACCTTATCTTACTAAGTTTCAAGACAAGAATATCTTAGGTTTGTTTAATTTCATGTGAAAAGCTAAATTCATTATTCAGGTTGTGATGAACTGAAACTTTCTTGTTTAAAGCTCTTGTTAAGGTCAGTTTAATCATAGTGTTTTAATTTATTATCATCATTTGTCATTATAGTTCACTTCAAATAGCATTGAATTTTTTTGTGAACCTGCCTTCATCATGCTGGTTAAGGAAGGTATGTAGTTCCTTTGCTTATGTAGAATTTATGCCTCATTATAGTTATGTTATGGATCTAAGCTTTGTAGGACTATGTGTTACAAGATACCTTTGAAAGATCTGCTTCACTACATGGAACCCCAGAGTTCATTAATGTTGGAGATTTTTGGAAATTAATTTCTCAGTAATGTAAGTTTATTATTTTAGTGCCTTCTTAATTTATGGCTCTTTAGGTGTCTTAAGTTACAAAACATGAAGTGTCTTACTTGTGGAACATTGGTAGACTATGATGAAGAAAACAATTATAATCTTTTTTTGGTTTTAATAATAATTCCAAATCATTTTAAATTAATAATAATTAAGTATTAATTAAGCATAACAGGAAGTACGTCATAATGAGGCTTAATGAATATCGTTATCGTTGTCGGATCAGGTCTGGCACCAGCATAAATCGTGGCTGATTCGTCAATATCGGATCAGGACATTGCCCCAAATCCTCGGTCCAGGCTCGATCATCAGTAATGATTCAGGCCTGTATCAGGACTGGTCCATGTTCCAACTCTTGGGCGTGTAGTCACTCCCAGCAGTGCAATGATGATTTCAAATTACATTAAATTATTATTATTAATAGGCATGCATGCACTAACTATAACATGAGATGCTGCAGATGCAGTAAAATTACTGACACTGACATGTGACAACAGACTCATAACAGCCTACCAATAAACAAAATTGTTTGATAATTAAAGGGACTCAGTTTAAAACTTCATGAATATGTGTAATTAAAATAATTAATCATAAGAATCTATTTTTTAATTTTGGTGAAATTTAAGTTGCCAATGATCACTGTGTACTACACAACCAATTGATGGCATATTTAGCCTTATATAGGAATGTGTCACAAATAGTGCAGCTAGTTAGACTTCTCTCCATTTTGTAGATTCATAGTGAAAAATGCATTAAAGTATTAATATAAAAAGAGACAAAAATCATTTTTTGAGCAATTGAAATAACAAAAATAATAATAATAGCAGATGCCGCAATGCATTATAACCAGCAATTATAAAGGATGAAAGGACAAAAATATTGATTTTAAATATTCTTTAAGAGCTCTATCTGATTCAAGAAATTTGTCAACACCAGCCTTTACTTTTCCAAATTTTTTAGGATAATCTTCACAAACTTGAAGAGCATTCCTCCAGGTCACTCCTTCATTGGAGTCTATCCATCTCTTGAAAACTGCCCGTAGCTTATCAGAGGTTGACTTTTCACTATGAGACAAGTCATCCACTTCAACATCAAGTGCAGTACCAATAGTTAAAAAATGAGCAGCAGAACTATCAAAAAGCCTATGGAGGTCCTTTAATTTAGGCTCCTTGTCCAAAATGTCTCCAAATAAAATAATAATAATGACTGATTTAATATAATAGCACTTTCTTACTTTTATCTGATGACTGATGATTAACTTGCTTTATTTGTGTTCCATTGTTACTCTCAACTGGTCCTATACACAAGTAATAAAATATAAATAAAAAGTATTAGTATGGCGCATACCAGATTCAAACCAGTACCAATGATCACTAGTAATAGTAGCTGACACAGAACAAACTGTACAATTGACAATATTACCATCTTCACTGGATCTAACAACACAGTAGCAGCTATTCTTCTTTGTAGGGCAAGCAAATGCATTGATGTAATTATGCTTGAGGTGCATGGCATCACTGCTATTATCAATAGCTGTTGTGAGTAGCTTACGTACTAATGGAAAGTATTGGGTAGGACCAGTAAAGTATACTTCAATATGAGTGTAACGGTTGATGAGGTGAAGTGTGTCCTCCTTCCTTTTGAAGGTAATCTTGAGAGACATGGCATCTCGAAATTTGTAATACTCTGGCGTCAAGGGAGAAATTTTAGTAATGCATTCTTTCTGGTTGAGTAGGTGTATGATAGTTAAAGGGAACGATCCTGTAGGAACTGGCAGGATCTCTTCACTCTTCTCTTCCCTCCAGACTATAAGAAGTGGCTTAGCATTAGTCTCCTTAATTGAAACAGGTTCATTGTATGAAGGAAGAGCATAAGGAATGAAGTAGTGTCCCTTTGACTCATCTTCTAGTTTGGTGATGATGTTAAGATGAAGGAGGAGTCTGATTAGGTCACACAACTGGAACTCTGGCAAGGAAAATATGACAGACTTTGACTTCAAATGCTCAAAAATATCTTCATTGAAAAATCCTTCCTGGAGATTATTAGCAACGGTTCAAGAAACTGGGTTAATTAATATTAATGATCGGGCATTTTTATCAGCGACGTATGTAAGAGCTAATAATTGTGAGAGAATCTCAAGGATTGGCATAGAATCGATAAATACAGCTTTCATAATATCTGGACAATATAACATGAGACTGACGTCATGGATATATCTCAAAGCTTGTTTAGTGTCTTCCTCATTTGTCCCGTATCTTTCTCCAATAGATAAAGCTTCCTTAACTGATAGAATACTCTGCTCGGGCAAAGACAGCTCAAATGCAAACCATCAAATTGGTAGCCTAATTTTGAGTGAAGCATCAGAACCATCTAACCATATTGCCTTGCAAATCTCTTCACTGTATTTAGCTCTTTCATCTGATGCAGCAATCATGTTGATAGGAAATATGATAGAATCATCATCAGATTGATGAATAATGCAATTTTGCAAGTAAGATTCCAACAAAGATATCGAAGACTTTAGAATCTCTTCCTTTTCTTTTAGAGTAGCAATGCTTACTTTGTCATAATGCGTTCCCAATACAAGATGCATGGAGTGCGTCGGTTTCTTGGAGATGCAGGAAATATCAAGAGGCTTAAAACTAGCTCCATTCGAAACTGAGGACTGGAAGAATGCTAACTGAGTTGACTTGGAGTGGCATGAAAAGTATTGTCCATCGATCCTGTACATCAGGTCAAATCTCTCATTGAAAGGTCCAGTGTTATGATATTGAGAGAAGCTGCTCTAGTGAATAAAGGCAGTAACTCCTGGTATGCTGGCTGACCACCGGAATCAATAATGTACAGCCAATGATCACTTTTATGAATCTCTTTTGGTTGAGTGGCTAAAATTTCCTGAACGACTGCTTCGGTATGATACTCTTTGTCTTCTTTGATAACTTTTGTCTCTGATAAAACTGCTTGATCAGGCTTCTTCTGTGGAGTGGGAGATGGATCTGGTGGTATTTCTGTTGCTGGTTGAGTAATATTTGGCAATGAGAAGACTACAGGCAGGGGAGGCTCTTTTGTTTTCTTTTCCTTTGAAACTGCATCCAAATCCGCTACTGACTGGTCAAGTAAATTGGCTCGAGTAACTCAATTCCAAATTGTTTTATCGCAAACGGCAACTGTTGTAGCCCTAACTGCAGGGCAGGCAATGGGTGTACTAGTGTCATTAGTGGGTGGGTCTTCATTCAGTAGGAGGAGCTGTGAACAGGTTTTACCAGCTCCAGGAGCATCAAGCATATTAACACGAGTAACAGTTAGATCAACACTCCCTTCCTCCATCCACTTCCCTATAGCATCTATATAATAATAATAAAATAGTATAATCAATAAATATAGTAGGAACTGTGTTGTATATACAAAAAGAGGTATATTACATTATTAGATGAAAAGCACTAAAAGTGAATACCCTTGCCATCCCACTTGCTACACAAGCAATAGATTTATTTTCAGTCTACACGAAGGCGCTACACTTCTCTGAACTCCGGAAGTGTAGGAAATCATAATGGTTTCCCTCATACTGTAATGGATACCCATACTATTTTACTTATTTCTCTTACATAGATATTTGAACAGTGCTGTAACTAGCACCATTAAGAGAGGAGAATTTGCTTGTTATAAAGAAACAAGTTTGGTTTTCATGTGCGAAATTTAAGCAAAGATATGCCACCGTGAAAATTACTTGTTTAATAAGAATTGTTTGACTTTGATTTTTGTGCAAATAATTCACAGACTACTTGGAACCTCTAAAGTCTTTCCATAGATTTAGGAAGATGTAGTCTACATGTCCTGCTAGTTTCAATCTTAATGGAGCAGGTATAGCTGTAGAAAAAGTGCCGTACACTTGGTCACAATTAGGTGACCTAAAATCCTTGTAATACAAGAGCTGTTCTCCTTATTTTACCATATACAGATAGAACCAACTCCTCCTTGCTATTATCAAAAATGAGCTTCATCTGTGCTTCTGTTTGGGAGATACACATCTACTTGCACAGCCACCATCTTCACTTTTTAGCCACAAAACAACTTTGATTTTTGTGCGAATCATTCACAGGGGTGCTGGTTTTTTGCCAAAGGGTCTGGTACTGTACTTACCTTTGCTTAATACATTGTGAGACTCTTCAGTTGCTGGGTCTTATTTATTCAGGTAAAATTCCCCTCAAACTTGCTATGTTTTTCAGAAATTGCCTAATTATCAGCTTATCAGCTACACGTGGTTCAAATTTTGAATAATTTTAATTATATTCATAAGCCATTGGCAATGAATATCATTTTATCAGTGACGTATCAGGAAGTGAAGCCATAGGAGGACCCTTTCACAATTGTGTAGCGCCTTCATGTAGACTGTTTTGATGATTGATAAAAAGAGTGGCTAGTTGTAAAAGCTCTTTGACACATTTAGTAGGCGCAACTAGTTGCCTGTAGACTTCTTTCTACTTTAAAGCAGTTTCAGGATACTGGCTACCTTCTCTACTGAGATTAAAGAGGCTGTATTTGCAAAGTACAAATTTTACACTGTCATATCATACCAAAGACAGAGAAGTAAGAAAATCCCCACTTAAATGTAAGTTTCAAGTTTAATGTTATTTTCTTTCTTATGATTCTACAACAAATACTGCCACTGCCACAACAAAAAATTTAACTAGTTCAGACTTTTTTGCTTTGAGTTTGCCAGCTTTTGCCACCTTGCAGAAGCGTGAAAAGCACATGGAAGCAAAGAAAACAACCTGTAAGAGTAGCAAAAGAAGTTTTGAGCGTCTGGAGTTTTTATTCTGAAACAAGGAGTATCTTGATTAAGACTACTTTGCTAGCACAAAGTGACAAATTGACTCATATACCCTTGCCTATACGCCTATGCATGGCAAGGGTAACAAGTGCACTATAGTACATGTCCTCACCACACTCATCAGTGTAACATACATGTAACAAAAGTGAAACATTAATGTTGTTCAAAAAAATTATAAAGAGAATGCTGCTGACTTGCTTTGAATTGCTTGCTGCAGCAATTGAAGGTGTGGCTAAAATAAAAGATATGGCCATAGATAATATACTACATGAAAGGGATTGGAAACCACTCGGAAATTACATGGAAGCATCCCTCCTTAAAATACAGAAGGTCATTGGCACTATGGAGACTACAACTCCTACTCATCCTTCCACTTTCTGAAGCAGTTCACCTAGTACTATGGAGAGTATCCCAAGGGTAAAGCTACCAGAATTAACTCTACGTTCTTTTGATAGAAATTATGCGAATTGGCTTACCATTTGGGATACATACAAAGCATCTATTCATGATAATACTGACATTTCTGATGTGGTCAAGTTCACTTACCTTTTATCACTATTACGAGGCTCAGCCAGGGAGGCTGTAGCTGGTCTGTCTCTGACATCAGCTAACTACAAGGAAGCTGTTGATATCTTATGCAAGAGGTTTGGTGATCAGACACAAATCAAAGCCAGGCACATGGATGCACTGATGAGTCTAGAACCGGTAATGAGTATTCAGAACCTCCCATCACTGAGACGTCGTTATGACAAGGTAGAAACACATATACGAGGTCTTAAATCTCTCGGTGTTAGTCAGGAATTGTATGGAGTACTCTATCCCCGGTAATTATGAAGAAACTACATCAAGATTTGAGGATTGTTATTACTCGAAAGATCACTGATGATCAGTGGAATCTCGACTCTATTCTTGAAGCACTCCTGGATGAAATTGATGTGAGGGAACGTGCTGGTATATCGTCAGTCAACAGGACCAAGAAGGATAGAGATCTACCCACAGGCACTGCACTACCCACTAATACTTGATCAGGTGCTAATTCACATTTGAACGGCAGCTCATCTTGCTGCTACTGTAATGAGTCCCATAATTCTACTCAATGTCAGACTATCTTCAGTGGAAGATAGAAAACGAATCCTTAGAAAGCAAGGTACACCTGGGCAAGGACTGTAAATCCCAATCATCTTGCAGAGACTGTAAGGGCAGACATCACACTAGTATCTGCCACAAGACACAAAGCTCACCTGAACAGACAAATTCTGTATATGTTCAAGTGAACACATCAGTACTCAATCCCAATGCTCCTCCCTTTTCTCCTCCCTCTTCCATTCCTATTGATCCTGAATCTTCTCATTCTTCTACTCTTTACACTGAGAACGATCACAATATACTATTGCAGACTGCACATGCTATAGTGTTCAATCCCAATAATCACGATGATAACACAGAAGTTAGAATTATTCTTGACTGTGGTAGTCAACACTCATACATCACCAATAGTCTTAACGAGAGGCTTCACATCAAATCAGATGGTAGGAGAGCCATGCTAATATCTACATTTGGCTCTGCCAAGGAGAGTCATTAGCTGTGTGATCTTGTAAGGATCCGTGTGTGCACTAAAGGGTCTGAAATGGAGTTAAGGTTATTGTTAGTACCACATATATGTGGACCAATATTAGGTGTACCAGTTGAAGTTTGCAGAGAACGATATGAGCACATTAGAGAGCTAGAGGTAGCAGACACTTCACAAGAAGGAGAGCCTGAAATATTAATACGCTCAGACTACTATTTGAAACTGGCTACAGGAGAGAGGATTCAAGGTAATGGAGGACGTGTTGCTATACATACTGAATTGGGTTGGATTTTATCTGGTCCAGTCTCCTCCTATAAGCAACACTGTACCAATCTTATCACCCACGTAACGATAGTAGACTCCGGTCCAACATTAAAGGATCTGGACAATAGACTCAGGTTGTTCTGGGACCTAGAGTCAATGGGAGTTACTGATACTGAGGATGCACAATTCAGTTCTATCATTGTATTATGTGATGGTCGCTATGAGGTATCACTCCCATGGAGAGATTCCTGTGTATCCATTCCAGATAACTTACAGCTCTGTGAGTCAAGACTGCATAGCCTACTTAAACGATTGAAGCAGACTCCAGACACACTAAAGGAGTATGACAACATTATCCAGCAACAACTAAAGAATGGAATAGTTGAGGTTTTACAGGATTCACCTACTCAGATTCAAGACAGAATCCATTACCTCCTGTACAATGCGGTGATAAAAAAAGGATAAGGAGACCTCAAAGGTACGTGTCGTGTACGACACATCAGCACAAGATAAAGGTCCCTCACTTAATGATTGCTTATATACTGGTCCGAAATTCAGCCAACAAATATTTGATATACTCCTCCGTTTTTGATGTCATCAAGTAGCCTTAACTGCAGATATTGAAACGGCCTTTCTTATGATCTCAGTCTCAGAGAGAGACCGGGATGTATTACACTTTTTATGGGTGAAGGATACCAATGAGGATTCATCTGATTATATGGTACTTAGATTTGCAAGGGTTGTTTTCGGGGTATCTTGCAGCCCTTTTCTATTAAATGCTACTGTTGAACACCATTTAGAGCTCCATCAAGATTCACATAAATCCTTAGTCAATAAGCTAAAGAAATCATTTTATGCAGATGATGTTATCACGGGAGCTAGGACTGAGGAAGAAGCTTACTCACAGTACTGAAAATCCAAGAAATTGATGAAGAAGGGTGGATTCAATTTATGCAAGTTTACTTCTAATAATACCTCTTTAAGAGAGAGGATTGCTACTAAGGTGTTGCTCCAACCACACAACCTACTAATAATACTTACACTCAAGCAACACTTAGGAAAACACAGACTAGTTTTACAGGTGAAAGAAAGGTTTTAGGTGTGATTTGGGATATCCACCTTGATGAAATGGTATTTGATTTAAGTAGAGTGGCAGACATGGCTCCTGAGACAGGGTTGACTAAAACGCATGCTGTGAGTGTGTCTGGTAGGTTTTTTGATCATCTTGGGATCATAACTCCTGTCACTGTCACTTTCAAGGTCCTGATTCAGGAGTTGTGAAAAACAGGAGTGGGGTGGGACAAACCCATTGAGGGTAAACTAGTGGAGAGATGGCAGTCGGTCATATGTGAACTGAGGGATTGCCAGCCCTTCAGAGTCCCACACTGCTACTGTTTGTCACTAGAAGGTACAGGAATTTATGAGCTTCATAAATTCTGTGATGGATCCACTGTTGCTTATGTAGCAGTTATATATTTATTTATTAGGAGTCTTAAGACTTGCACAGTGAGAATGATTGCTTCTAAGGCAGGGTTGCTCCAATCAAACAGCAAACCATTCCCAGACTGGAGCTGTTGGGAGCTCCTTTGCTTGCCTGACTTATGAAATCAGTAATCAACAGTCTAGAATTGGAAATTGTTATCAAAGATGTTACTTGCTCTACAGATTTAAAGATTACACTTTATTGGATACAAGGTCTTAATCGTGACTGGAAACAGTTCGTCTAGAACCGTGTGTCAGAGATACGGCGTCTGACAAATGCTGAGAGCTGGAAACATTGTCCTGGGAATCAAAACCTAGCAGACATACCCTTGAGAGGTCTGAATCCTTCTGAGTTATTGCACAATAATCTCTGGTGGTATGGTCCAAGTTGGATACAGCTTGATGACCATCCTAATCTAAATTTTTCTGAAGTACCAGAAGGTAGTCTGGTAGAGTTGAAGGCTGAAGTTCAGCACACTCTTGAAGTTAATACTTCAACTACTAATACTGTATCTAATATTATGTATATTAAGAATTATAGCACACTTGATCGATTGTTATGTGTCACAATGGTGATACTTATGTTTATTGATAGATTGAAAATGAAATATGATAATGAGATACAATATTTGAATAGATCAGGAAGATTATGGTTAAAGGAAGTGCAAAGCACTCTAATTGATGATAACAAACAGTTGAAGAAACAACTAGATCTCTTCAGGAACAATACAGGTATTTGGAGGTGTGGTGGCAGACTTGGTGAAACCAATTTTGCATATTCCACCAAATATCCTATGATCCTCCTTTGAGATCATCACTATCATTGCTAGTTGTTAAACAAGCCCACAGCCATGTTCTACACAGTGGTGTAAAACAGACTCTGACAGAAGTCAGATCAAAGTATTGCCTTATTAAGGGCAGAATGTTTGTGAGGAAGGAAATTGCAAGGTGTGTTGTTTGCAGGAGACAAGAAGGTCTGGCCTACAAGGCCCCACCTCCTCCTCTTCCCTCATTTTGAGTGAATGAACAACCTCCTATTACACACACGGGTGTGGATTATGCTGGTTCCTTCTATGTTAGACCAGACCACCCCGTCAGAGCCAAGTACAGCCAGAAGGTTTGGATCTGTCTCTATACATATTGCATAACTAGGGGGTTCATATAAATATTGTACCTAACCTCTCTTGCCCCTCTTTTCTTAGGTCATTTCATCGTTTTACAGCTTGTAGAGGTATTCCCCATCTAATTATTTCTGATAATGGATCAACTTTTGTTTCCGCTGCCAAGACAATCCACAGAATCATTACTGATCCGTCCATTGCAAAGTATATGCGTGAAGCTCGTGTGGATTGGCGATTCAATATTGAGAAGGCACCTTGGTGGTTTTCGAGAGGATGATAGGGCTGATGAAGAGATGTTTGCGAAAGGTAATTGGAAGATTGAAACTCACATATGACGAACTGTTAACTGCAGCCACTGAAGTAGAATTAATTCTCAATTCTCGCCCACTCACATTTGTGTCCTCTAATGATAAAGAAGAGCCACTTACCTCTTCACACTTAATTGTTGGTAGACGACTATCCAATCTCCCTGATGAGTTATGCTATCATATAGAAGAAGAGTTCACGAATGAAGTTTCACCGTTATTATTGATTTACAGGTTAAGATATCATCACAATGTAATGGACAAATTTTGGTCAAGATGGAGAAATGAATATTTGTTGAATCTTCGAGAGAGGTATCCTACTGGTCACAAGAAATCGAGTCAAAAGATAATTAAGATTGGAAATATTGTTGTTGTCCATAGTGATGAATTGCCACATAGTTTATGGAGACTTGGCAGAGTCATGGAAGTGATCACAGGCACTGATGGTAATGTGAGATGTGGAGTCGTTGAAGTACTATCTGGAGAGAAGCGTTTTATGTTAATTCCATTGGAAATCGATGAGGATTCAAGTGGGAACAATAGCACTACCTTAGATGAAACATTGGATGTTAGTAGTGATAATCAAGAATCTACTGTTAATGAATCTACTGCTAATGAGATCACTGTTAATTCTCCAACAGATAGTCAGCAAGATGATTCCACAGCTGTTAATGATTCTAATACTCAATCTCTGCCCAAGGGACGTCTTAGAAGAGCAGCTGCTATCGAAGCACGCGATAAGATCTATGCAAGAATGTGTGAGGACTAACACTAAACTCAGTTATGTATTTTGATTATTATTGATGTATGTTTTTCTTATTACATGTACAATGTTGTGATACGTTATGTATATTGACTGACCACTGCAGTCAATGTGGTGGAGTGTTCAGAATTGAATAATTTATTTCTTTCATTATTATTCATTATTATTATCATTAACTTGTACTGAGCATGCTCTGTTGTGTGCATGTGAAATTATTCTATTGTTGAAAAAGGAAAGAAATTTTAAGAGAAAGAATCTGAGAATAAGCAGCGTCGACAGAGTGCCAACATACTCACTGCCAACTAGAGTTCCCTACACAAGTATCCCCATATAATTCACATCTATTATGTAACGTGATGCATGAGGCAGAAATGAGCTAACGGATATGCTAGCTGGAGAGAAAAAAGTCACTGCATCTGCCGTTATTCCTCTACTACAACACCTTACAAATCATATTGTGAGAGCAAGTGGGACAGATAACACACTTACCACGGAAATAAAGGAAAGAATCAAGGACAATATAGAGTCACTGTATAATGCTGCTACTAAACAACTATTAGAGGTGTGTTCATCGCTGGATCCTAGATTAAAAAGTACTTACATGTCTTCATACACTGAGCTGATAGAGAAAGTAAAGACTGAAATACCACAAATGACAAAAGTAACCTCAAGTACCACAAATGAGGTAGAAACAGAATCAGCATCCAAGAAGCGTAAGACTGCATGGGGAAAGTGTTTGGTGCTATAGTTAGCAATAATGATGGTAGTAGTGGCTGATTGTCATCAGAAGAAAAGCTAGACAAAGAAATCGAAACGTACAAACACTTCCCCAATTTAGATGTAGAACTATCACCACTTGATTGGTGGAAAGCAAATAATCAACAGTTTCCTCAACTAGCACAATTAGCAAGAAGGTACTTGACTGTCAGTGCTACTAGTGTTAGTTCCGAACGTCTTTTCAGTAACAGTGGACACATTGTTGGAGGAAGAGTACAGCTAAAGCCTGAAAAGGTTGACCAACTAATTTTTCTTGCACATAACTTACATACATTTACATAGTTATTTGAAATAATGGTGTTAAAGTTCAATGAAATAAATTTTGTTTAATTATGACAACATTTTGTCAAAAATGCAGGTAATATTGTGATACCGAGGTATTTTAAATCTATTAATGTTATAATGATAATATTGGATACCGCCCAATACTAGCTGAAAGTGCAAAGTAATATCTTTTTCATTCATTTAACTTTCTTATAGTGCTCTAATAGTACTAAAAGGTAAAGTTGTTCCTATGGGCATCAGGCATCAGTCTGAATTTTAGATACTGGAACTTTATCTTCTACTGCCATTAATATCGGATATTTGGAAACAATTGGTTATGACATTACTTTTTAGGCATACACTCTTTTAAACCTAACAAGACAGCTCCTGCTTTGAGTGAGCTCCTTAGTCCTGCCTATACTCCAAATGATAGGATTCAAAAAGAGAGGGCAATCACTATACCTTGCTTAATTACTGTGCACAACATAAGATTTTCAAAACTTAATTTATTTTATATTATTTTATATGCCTATGATGCCTTTACATAGGGCCTACAAGGGTTTTTAAGAAACTGTAATTCCCTCAACGATGGGTTTGGCAATATAATGATGCGCTTTCAGGATTTCTGAAAATTTTGGAAATAGAAAACTCCCATGAACTAGTAGAAAACATATGTCCTACTCATGTTTACTTATTTAAACTCACTTCACCAATTTTGATATGTACATGCCTAATAATCTACATGTAAATCTAATTTATCAAATATTTGTAAACTCTAACATCTAGAGTGCTGTAATGATGTTGTCACTAGCAGAGAATTGAAACTAATTTTCACAGAATTCTGGTGGCCTAAGGCAATGTCAGTACCAGAGCGATTTTGATAAAGAACGAGACAAATGAATAAAATGCTTCATTGCAGCACTTTCATTGTCAGCTAGGTGTGATACTGCCATTTTAACAATACAAGGGTAGCTTTGTACACTATGTTACTAGTGGCCAATCCAAAAAGATTCTAAAGAGCTTGGTTTCCTTCTTATACCGATAACAGAGAGACTGTGTCACAGGCTGACCGAGTTCATTCAACACTAGATGCTTGTGCCAGTTAGTGCAGTTGGTCCTAGAACGATCCAGGGCCAACTGCACTAGCTGGCGAAGCACCTGGGGTTGGATGTACATGTACATGGTCAGATAGGATCGCTTATTTCCCATACCTTACTTAGGTCATTGCTTTCTTGAATCGTCATCTGCTTCTTTTGTGGTTCCTTAGCCTTTGTTACATCACTCGATGCTGCCTTATCTTCGCCATACTTGCAATATTTTTCAGGATGCTTTCTCAAGTGGGTTACTGGGTGAAAATGACTTCACTGACTGTCCTCCTCAAGGTGCTCTAGTCTGGCAAATGCTACAAACAGCTTCGCTGTCTTCCTCTGCCGCTGTAAAATACTTCCATACAGGAGATCTTCTCTTAGACATGTACATGGCCAATAACTATTAATAACATGGGTGAGTCCAAACCAAGTGGTAGTATCAATAGAAAAAGCATCAATACCAATATCTACTGATAAGGCATTTATCAGCTTTTACAGATAATGTACACGTACATGCATCTGGTAACCATTGCAACTCTATAGGATTCCAAACCACCAACGAAAATATGGAATGATAATCCTAATCTCGTGATGCAAATTCTACTTTACATTGTACTTTTAATTATATTATGTAAGAATTGCGAATCACCTTGCAATGTAGAGTAACAAGAGTAGGATTTTCATTTCATATTTTCGTTGGTGGTTCGGAATCCAACCTGCTCTTGTTCCTATTACTTTTTTTACAAATTTGCTCTAGAATCCTACTTCATCTTGTTTTTTCTTTTAATTTTTATGCTCTTAGTATAGTGTCAGGGCCAAATTTCACCAAAAATGTCAAAAAAATTTTAAATTTTTATTACATTTTCTGATACATACATGTACATGAACTTATGTTGTGTAGAAAGCTTGAGCTAATTCTGATAAAGTTTGGCAAATTTTTAAGCTTCAAAATTCAAGTGCATGGTCATTCATTACTCACTGATTTGTGACATGAATCCACATATTGCAGTATCCGACTTGACTGTACAAAGCTCTCAAGGTTCTCCTGTAAGTTCTCATTCCATATGAACCTAAGAAAGGAAGGAGGTATAGGACCCTCTGAAGTCATCTTTGGAACTGAAGAGAGTGATGAGTTATGTGTACGTCATAAGAATACATTATACTGCAACTGTAGGGGAATATAATTATAATATACAATTAATAAATACAGTATAGCTTGTAATTTAAGGAGGAGTGATTTTTGTGGTTTGATCGATATTTTTATAAATAAACCATATTATTTTAAACCATTATAATAATACTCAATAGCACATGGTTACAAATTGTTCCACAAATCATCAAAAGTTTAGGAATTTACCAAAATTTTACCCCTCAAAAATTACTAGCTACATTTAATACAGAACACTAGGGAGATTTTTGTATGATTCATACATGTATTTATCACAATTATGTCAATTATCAATGTAATGATTACAATTATTATTGTGAACTAAAAACACACAATAATCCAATGGAATGTACTAACAAAGATAATAAAAATGATTAATTATTACAAATATTACTGACCTGAAATAAGAACTGGACAAAAAATCAACATTTTGAAATATTGTAACATATTTTGATTCGTCAGGATGAGCTGGTCTACCATTAGGAGCTGACAGACAGTGCATGGCAGTGTCTTCAATCTTATACAATATATGACCATCAATATTAGTAACACTGTGTGGGGAGGAGCCTGTTGTCATGGTAATGATAATAACTTGCGGTTTTCGTTTGGTGACAAGAATGATGAAATAGCCTTCAAGAAATCTGATAAAACCTAAAATAATGAAATTATAATAATAGTTTCATCATAAGGAACCCTTAGTAATGAAAATAAAATAACTATGTAATAAATAAAATATACAAAAATTGTGATTTTTTTAAACAAGTATGAGTACTAGTCCTTTTAAAATAGAGTCATAAATAACATATATAATATATATTAATATTACTGTACATGTCATTAAAATGCTTGTATAAGTCTCTTTTTAACACTTACCAATAATCCCAAAAGCTGATGACACTTGCAGTAGTCCTCTTTATAGTGAGTGGTGAAGTTCTGATAGGCACTCTCTAACATTGTAAGGGTCTCTTGAACCTTAAAAGATGATCATACATTATCACTAAAGCTTTTCACTTTCTCTCTCCCTCTACCTCATTTTGTTGATATTCTTTCTCGAGATACCAAGTGATATGAGTAATACCATGTGCTAGAGATCGGAGTCTTTAAAAAGAGTATCCAAACAACTAATAGATTTACATGTATAAGTGAATGGACTGGAAGGGGAGAGGGCAGGGGATCCAAACCAATAATTTGAAACAATATTTCTTTAAGTTGGCATACATGAGTAACTGGAATGATAGGTTTTTGAGCTAATCATCATTCGTTTTAATACTCTCAAAAATAAGACGACCACAGGTATTAAGTAACTCCTCGTCAATGTTGTTGAAGGATGCGATTGTGTTTATGTTTCATAGGAGACCAGAAGGAAAGTCAAGCAATAGTCCGGGAGATTGAGAGTGCACATCAAAAGGGTTAACTAAGTTTATTAAATCATACTAGAAAAGGAGTGTTAACTTCCTTGTAGTTACCATAGCTGCCCCTGATAAGAACTGTGTCCTTTCTTAGCTGATACTCCTTAACTTTCTTCTTTCCTTGCTCGTGCCATAAGCCCATAGCCCCGGGTCAGGAACACGTTTCGAGGCTCACCACTGACAGCCATTTTGATCCTTGCAGCTTAATATAAAGCCTTCTTCAGAGCCCACGTGAAATCACGCCTTAGTTAAAGGGAGGAGCCAGGTTAATACTGCTCTTAGATAATATCAAGAGTAGATAATATCAAGAGTAGGTACTTGATAATATTATTTACTCTAATATCAAGAGTGGATAATTAATTAGCTATCCACTCTTGCTAATATCCATGTACAAACACTTGGAGATGCATTTGAAGAAATCTAATGTTATGTTAGGTTTAGTGAAGACAGGGGTGCAGTTTTTTGGTGGTAGCCTTCTGGAAAAGAACAGTGAAGTGAAGGAAATTGTCAGCTCTGTCAGATTACGTGAGACTCGGCACTGGATTTTGAACTGAGACCTTAGAAATGGCAAGAGTGGATGGTAATACATGTATATATAAATTTTCTATTATTGATGTACTTACGCACATTACTTATGCTATGTAGAAAGTTTGAGCTGTTTTTGAAAATTATTCTTTGAGTTATGAGTAAAATTGTGACCCAATAAAAGTAGGAGTGGGAGTAGGAGTTTGCTAGATAATATTAGGAGTAGGACTTTGCTAGATAATAGTATGAGTAGGAGTTTGCTAGATAATAGTAAGAGTAGGGGTTAGAAGTAAATGTATGGGTGAATACAGCAAGTCAGCTGCCCACGCAGCCATTATGAGTAAAAACTACTATAGCTATAGTAACTACATTTTTTGAAGGTAAAGACATGTATAGGCAATTTAAATGATTTCAGCAATAAATTTAAGTTAGTTTGGTGAGTTAATTTTGGTTGTTTTATAAATTGGAGTGCTACTATACTTTTTCTTTATTTAATACACAGAAATAATGTATAGGTGAACACTTTGCAGTCCTTAATAGTAGTGCCATAACACTGATCCATTATGCATCACCTTCTGATTAAGTATTTGATCTATTCTGGTCAAGTATTTATGTTTACATCCATCTTGCTTTTATGATCATATTTAGTGCATTCTCTCACTTTGACTCCCTTTTTCTTTTTTTGCTTGGTAATTTTTTCTATGATATTGTGTTGGTTAAGTTTTTGCACATTATAAAGTAACAGTAACCAATGCATGATTTATCAAAAAGTAATAGTTGAGATACGTTGATGGTTGACCTAAAAAATTATAGAAATAATTATGTGACAGTTTTAAGAAGTAAAGTGTATGATGAATGATGTACTGTGGAATTTCTAATAATAGAGCAGATTTACCTATTGCTATTGCCATTGCCACCTCACTGAGTGCACTTCACTAGCACTAAGAGGATGAAGTGGTATAGCAATTTTTTAACTTAATTTTGTCTTTTAAGAATGTCGTATTTCACATAGAAACAGTAGAGCAGAATGCAGAGAAAAATTAAAAATTTACTAATAGGCAACATTTAAAGAATTGAACTTAACCTATTAATTTGATTCAGAGTACTGACTTTAATATTTAGCTATATCTACAAATGCAAAGATTTAACTTATAATTTTTTCAGAAACAACTGTACTAGGGAAGGATTTTTACAGTACAACTTAATAGTCAAAATAATAATTGCATGTATACTTAACACACTGTTTACTTTATATTGAATTATAAAAATGCCAATTTTTACATGAGGAAATAATTTTTATATTTAATTTTAGTAAAATATTGAAACCAATGTTGTGGTTAAAAAATTTTTGGCATAATGTTAGCTTCTTAAACATTTGAGTTGTGTAGTGTCTTCGCCAATATAATTTTTAAAGTTATATCATTGATCTGTGTAGATCTACATAAAACTGTTGCACTTGTATTGGTTAATTAATCCTAGCATTATAAGTAAATTAACTGTAATTTAAAATTGATTCATTTTAGTTTCAAAGCTTCTGTTAAAGTTGTTGTTATGAAAGTCTTTAGAATAATACAAAACTCATTGATACACAATGAAAATGACAAAAAATTTAATATCTTAGATTATTCATACTATATTTGACTGTAATCATTAAAAATACATGTATTTTTAATAACTACAAATATTCCACTGTTACTCAAACTTTTAATTTCACTAGATGCTTGGGCAGCTGACTTTCTGTATTCACCCACGCATTTACTTCTAACTCCTACTCCTACTCCTACTTTTATCTAGCTAACTCCTACTCCTACTCCCACTCCTACTTTTAAAAATGAGCCAATTTAAAAATTAGCCCATGGATTTTTTTATAGGAAGTTGGAATGGGGTATCTTTGTGAGTTACAGATATGAGTTGAAAGTTGCATCTACATGTAGTAATGTCTAGCAATGGGGTCTGCATTTGAGCAAGAAATGCCCTGTCATCCCAGCTCACTATACATGTGCATCGTTTATATCAAAGAAAGGAGAGCAGATATGCAGCTATCTCCATACAGCTATCTCTTTGCAGCCGTTAGATTTGAGTTGTAACAAACCTGCAAAAGATTACTTAAAACAAAGTTCCAGGAATGGTATGCTGAGATCATTTTAAAGCAAATGAAAGATGGCATTGAGGAGATTGTAGATATGTGGCTCACAATGATGAAACCTCTTGTGGCAAAATGGGTTATTGAAATGTGTGAATGCTTTTCGTCTCGTCCACAGATATTAATTAATAGATTTTGTGCAGATGGAATTTTAGATGCTCTGAAATGGAAATGAATATTGTCAGTTTTAGTGATTGCTCAAATAATAGATAAATTTAATGATGAAATTTTAGTGATTAAATGGTTGTGATTATAAGTAAATCAATATAAAATTAACGTTAAATGCATGTACATTTAGTGGACTTGTTTGACTATTATGTTTAAGTAGTAAGAAACAGACTGAAGTGTTTTGCTTCAAAATAGGATACAAGATGGGTACTAAGTTTCTCCTGATCAAATTTTATTGAGGCAGAACTTGTACAACCACTAAATGCTAAGTGCCTGGCATTAGCAATAGAGAACACACAACAGTCTAAAAAAACCCCTTTGTTTCTGAACATAAGCCATTTTGTACTTTAATGGAGTGCTAAAAAAGTGTCTGAAAGCAGCTAGAGTAACATCATCAACATCCTCATATAATAAGTTGTGTACAAGAAATTCACCAGTGTTACATCCCATGGTTGAAATAGTTATCCAATGGTTCCCTCTACAATGGCATATTTAAATAATATTATTTTCCAAGAGGCTTCAAGGTTGAAAAAAATCCATTCAATACTGGAAATTGAGACTTCATAATTAATTGAACGAAGTTAATTACGGCTGGGTTTTCACAGCAACGCAAAACGGATCGACCAGGTCATGAGAGTACTGACTTTTTGTATTCACTCTGCATGACATCATGCTGCCTCTTCTAAGGAATAAGGAACAAATTGTAGCAATGATTTTAGGCACATGGCCAACAATTGTTGATTTCTTCTCCTTGAAAATAACTATAGTGCATACTGGTCGTGAACATTACTCATCTCTCATTCACACTTCAGTAGCTCTCCTTCCTCTAATTCCCAGGCCTCCTAATATGTATGGTAGCCCCTGATAACTGAAAATATAGTGAAGGTACAATTATAGGTATTTCTGCAAGCTGTGCTATGTCACCACGTGGTTAATAATTAAATAAAATTGTGTAATACCTACCACAAATTTTTTAATGCACGAAAATTAATTTTTTTGAAAAAATTTCAAAAAATGCAAAAATTTACAGCATGAGAATTTTTACTTTTATGGCAGTAGGTTTAGTTATTGAAAGGTGATTTTCATAATAATATTCCTTTCTCTCTCTCCCCCTCCTCTCTGCTGGTCGCTATTGGTTATGATGATGGCAATATTAAATTATTTGATAAGGATACTCAATGTGATTCATGTAACCTTTAGGTACTGATAATGACGATAATAATAATTACAATTAAGTTAATTACCGTATAGCTGGAAAAGTTTGCGGTAATTATATTTTGCGATTTTGTACCCATATTGCTAATTTTAATGTTTGTGGAATTTAATTTTGCAGGTGTAGGCATGTACTGTTGATACACCTATTACTTATAATGCTTTGCAGAATTAAATTGTGCATTTTTATGATGAACAGCAAACAGCAAAATTAAATTCCAGCAAATATTTCCAGCTATACGGTATGTAACAATAGATGACTAAAACTATTAGGGAATGAGCCTAAGTAATTGAATCAATGCACATATACAGTGTCTAGACACAATAGATTTTGATGTACATGTAGTCATACTAGGCTGATGTACAGTAATTATGATATCAATAGTCGTGCATGATAGTGCAGAGCAGCTCAAAATTTGCATGGAGAAAAATTTCAAGTTTGTTTCTTTTTTATTTTAAATTGCAAAATTAGTACTATAGACTACTATTATTGAAAAAATTTAATCACTCTAAGGTAATGAACTAATTGTTTTATAACTTTTATTGTCCTTTAATGTTAAAATTTGAAAAGATTTCATAAAGTTCTCACTAGTTTTAAAATGTAGTACTCTGTTATACACCATTATACTTTGTGGGAATTAAATTTCATGACTTTCATGTTTTGAAAAAAATTGTGAATTTAAAATTTGCGAAATATCATGCTGATTAGTTGTAGGTATGGTAATTACATTAAATTACAAAATTTTATTTGTGAATGAAAAAATGCAACCAAATTGCGAAATTTTACACTCACGGAAATACATGTATATGGCATATACAGTATATGCGTAGTATGATGTCATTGATCACACCCACTTTCTATAGGTTTTTATCCTCAGTAATGATTGTTCATTTCTATGCAGTGGATGAAGACTGAGATGAATCACTAGCTACAGTATGTGCACACACGCTAACTGACTGTACTTATGTGTACATGCCATGTGCATGTATGTGTGGAATACCTGGAGATAGAAACTTTCTAGCAGGAACAAAGGTATTGCTATTATAGTATCAGAATATGTAATAAAATTGGACAATTCTATCTTTTCAATTTTGGTTAAATTTGACCAAAGTCCATCCACATTACATGCATGTACTTTAATACTGGATCTTTGGCCCAATTTATAACAGCATTAAAAATTTGTAAAAAATACAATTTTGATTGAAATCAACTCAAACTTTCTACACAACATAAGGGCATGTATCAGGAAATGTAATAAAAATAGAGATTTCTCTCTTATTAAATTTTGGTAGATTTTGCCAAAGATCATGTACTATAAATACAGGGACTTTGGCCCCCTTTTGAGTAACTTTTAAAATTTGTAATAATTAAAAATTTGAACTTTATTAACTCAAACTTTCTAAATACATGTAGTATCAAAACATGTAATAGAAAAATGAAGAATTTTTATTCAATTTTGATGACATTTGGCCAAAGATCTTGTACTACATTTATAGTACATGTAAATTGACTTTAGTTTGATTTTTTTAGCTACTTCTGAAAGTTGTAAAGATTTCAATTTTGATCGGAATCAACTTAAACTTTCTACTCGATTTACATGTATAAGCATCACAAAATAATAACAATCCTAGTAAAAGAGTACATAGGCCTGTCATTTGCCAATCTTGAGACCAAATTTTATTCTGTTACTGTAGACTGGTAACATATTCAAAGCTCATACTTGGTCCATACTGTTAATGGGTATGTCTCCTGGTAGGCATGGTTTCACCACATGCAGTGCAGATTATGGTGTAAAGTTTTGGGAGTTTGAATTGATTACTGATGAAGAGAGATCAGGGAGGTAAGATTTATTATTAATTTATTAAGAATTATGATAATTGGTGATTTAATTGGCTCAACTTCTAATTGAAAAAAGTTTATATTTAAGAATGTACTGGTAATATTGCATTCCTTGCTATGAAGTGAGTGTGGCTCTTAATTTAGATGCACATGTAAATGTACATGTAGGCCTGTCTACTACAAAAATTATTTTTTGCACCATTTTGCAATGAACAGTTGAACACACTGAGCGTTTACATGTGGTGAAGATAAATTTGAGTGTATGCGCAATGAATCATCTGTCAAAATGATTTAAATACATGTACATCAAAGTGTACTTAGGTATTCATTTATAGTACATGTTAATAAGTAATGATATTCACACGATAATTCTTACTGAGTCAATACTGCTTGATTAAAGTACCTTATTTCCTCAAATAAGGGCCTTACTCAAATAAGCACCTATCACTAATAATATTACCACTATAGATATGCATATTTGAGCCAGTTTTATGTGCCATTGTGGTTAGGGTGATCCAAATAGCCTAATTGTTCATCTTCAGTTTTTAGAACATAGAGTGGCATGTTCGATCCTGGGTTTTGTAATTTTTTTGCCTCTGTTAAGCAATAAACGCCTAAGCCCTTATTCGATGAAATACAGTATCTAGTTGTAATATTTCCTCAATACAAACACCAAAGAATGATGTACATGTATCATTACTTGCTGGAGCAGTTATGAATGGTCAGCTCCAGTTACTTCTATTTAGTAATGTAGTACTGTTCTTTAGATTATTTTTTACCTTCCACTTGAAATTCTGTAGCACATTTAGCAGCAACGTCAATATCAGAAGTAGCGTAATGGTCCCACCTAAATCTAACTTGTCTCCATCAGAGCCTTTCTCTACAATCCTAATTGATGACATCTTATTATCATAATTCAGAGATGGGCCATTCTCCAATAGTGCTTGCTGTATTGTTTTTATGTTTATCCAACCAAACATTTTTCTAATATAAGCGTCAGGCTTTATTATAGTATACAAATAGGAGTACAGCTGTAGTATAGTATAACGATATTTTTAGGGTTGTAAATTTTGCTGATTTTGTGGATATACCTTCCTAATTTTCGAAAGTAAATTTAATGCTGTGCCCACATGGCACTAGGTAGAATTTGCAAAATTAAAATCAGCAAATTGGAAAATTAGTAGATTTTGTGAAATATAAATACCTTGAAAAAACCACTTATACTATGGTAATTGTTTGATAACAATTAACAGTTTGTGTGGTACAATTTTTATAATTATTTAATAATATTCTATAATTTTATAATAGTTAGTTACAGTATGTCTATTCTCAAACAATAAAGTTAGGCATTACTAGATTGAATTTCTCTTATACATATCCCATATGGTCTGAGGTCATACGAAGAATATGTCAGGTAATACTCTGCTCCATGTCGTGTCTTTTCTTTTGGTATTATTTTAGTGTGTCCAGGTCTGAGATTAACTCTGTTTTGTATCACAGCTTCATATTTCTTTCCTTCATGAGTAAATCTTGGGGCGAAATCAGCAGCTACGTCAACATCAGGTGTTGAGTAAAGACCCCTTCCAAATTTGTCTCTTATTATTCTTTCCTCATCATATCCTTTAGCTGCAATACCTTCTGCACCTTCTTTGTCTGTTCCATGATAAGAGACAGGCCATTCTCCCTTTGAACTTTTAGTTCGCACAGAACCAGCTACTGGTATACCCAGCCAGGTATCATCTGGAGGATACTTGCCCTTGACTTTGAGAGCTATTCTTTTCCAACCATAAGGACGTTTGTAGTGATAATCATGTTTTAGAAAACCCAAGAACCCTTGACTTTGACCTCGTTGATACACCCTGCCTGTGTCACATTCGTTAGTAAAGTCATAATCGTAGTTAGGGTCCAGTAACTCCTCGTCTAATACTAGGACTATTGGTTTGGCTGCCCCTTTTAGTTTTACTGCAAATTGTACAATGGAACCGTTTCTAATTCTGTAATCTTTCAAAAGGCGATCATCGTCATTGAGCTCAGTCCCCTCAAAGGTCAGTACAATGTTATTAACGTCATACTGTGTGTACTCATCAAATCCTTTACTCTTAAAAATGGCCCACTTCAGTGCATAGACTGTAGCTCTTGGATCCACTGAAAACCTGTAGGCTTGACCATTGAGAAATTTAACTGTGATAATGATATTTGAACTGGTTTGCTCACTGAAGGTTTCCTCATCGCTTGTTTTGTTAGCTGCCAGTGGTTGTAGTTCAATGTTCATTGTCTTTTCTAGTGGTACCACTATTGTTGAATCTGGCTCTGGTCTGCTCTCAACGATGACATTCTTACTCATCACCTCATATGTTAGTGGTTTTGGATCCTTGAGTGTCTTGTACAGTGGATCATCTTTAGTAATGACTTTACTTCCTGGTATTAGACTGGTTAATGCAGCTGCTACTAACTGTAGGTGAGCACTGGAAGAGGAAGAAGCTACTGCCATTTTGAATGGTACCTTGGAATGCTAGTAGCCTGTGGTAGGTGGATTTATACAAGGGTTGGACACTATAATGATAATATGGGTGGACCATTTGGATATAAGTTTGCATAGTGAGACCGCATCATGTTTTTAGCATGCATCATGCTCTTAGCATGTGATATAAATATTTTTTTGAGTTGATATAGTTGAATTTCACTCTTAGTTTCATTTCTTGGTATTAAGTATACAATCAATGTGTCATAATCAATGTTAGTATCCAGACCAGAATAAAACTTTCAATTTTTCTTTATCATGTCTCTGTCATATAACTACTAGCATTTTATAAACAAAAGAAATAAGCATCATAAACTACCTAATATTCAGCTATAAATCCTAATTATTTAAAAGCATCGCAATTATTGTGCTTATTAATTATTTGAATGCTAGTAACTGCTAACTTGAACTATGTTTCATATACATGCATATACATTGTGCAACTGTGCAAGACTTGGGACTGTCATTTGCATGTAACATTAATTTTGTTTTAATGATTAATTAATTTTATTGTGTTGTACTAGTACAGTAAAAGAATAGTAGACATAGACCTTACTAAAACTGATTTGCATGAAGCAAAAATAGTTACATCACACACAGTAACAAAAATTAACAGTTACCACATTACAATACAGAATAATTTTATGTTTATATAGTCTCAATCTCTCTCACACAGTAAAAGTACATGTACCCCTTCAAACTTCTCTTATACATATTTCATATGCTCGTAAGTCATCAGCAGATGGTGGCACATAATACTCTGCCCCAGCATATGTCTTTTCCTCCGGTATTATTGTTGTGTTTTTAAGGTTAACACTGTTTTGCATGACAGCTTGATATTTTTTGTCTCCAAAAGGAAATGATTTTGCGTACAACTCATGAGCAGCAATGTTAATGTCTGGAGTAGAGTAATGGCCTTTTCCATGAAGATTCCTAAATAATTTGGTTTATCATATCCTGTTTTTGTGATACCTTCTGCTCCACTCTTTGTTGTTCCATGATTAGACACTGGCCATTCACCAGGTAGACCAAAACATCCAAACCAGTCATCAGTATCATACTTTCCTGTTACTCTAAGTGCTATTCTATTCCAACCATAAGGTCACTTGTAAATATGACTACCTCATTTGTAGACTCTCCTATTGTCGTTTATGTGTGTGAAATCAAACTCATAAACTGGATCCTATAAATTCTCCTCTAAAACTAGCATTGTTGTTTCAGATGCTCCTCTTAGTTTAACAGCAGCTGTTACAGTTGACATGTATTTAATTCTATAGTCTGTTAGTAGACAATCATCATCATTGAGCTCTGTTCCCTCAAAAGTCAGTACAATGTTATTAACATCATGCTGTGTGTACTCATCAAATCCTTTGCTCTCAAAAATGGCCCACTTTAATGCATAGACTGTAGCTCTTGGGTTTACTTGAAACCTGTAGGTTTGGCCATTGAGAAACTTAACTGTCATGATCATATTTTCCGCTGGAGTTGCGATCAAACGAGAAAGTCTTAAAGTCCTGCCTCTGACTGCTTCTGCATCTAGTTCTGTTTCTTCAAATGGATCAACTAGGCCAACTTTAGGCTCTGGTCTGCTCTCTACAATCACATTTTAACTCAATAATTTGTATGTTAGTGATTTTGGGTCCCTTAATGTTGCATACAATGGGTCATTTTTGGTGATTACTTTACTTCCCGGTGTTAGACTTGTTAATGCACCTGCTACTAACTGTAGGTGATCACTGGAAAAAGAAGAAGAAGCCATTTTGAGATACTGCAGTAGTTGGACTAGGAATAATCCTCAATGATTGCCTGCTACATAGTTGGGTATGCAGAGGAGGAACTTGCTTTTGTAGCTAAGTCAAATAAACGTCATTATAATTGTACTATAGTGACAGTAGTAATTAATTCTTTTACAATGTATGACAGACAAAGAAGTTATTGAGTGTGATTTGTTTTAGACTGTCTGCCAGCTTATGTAGCTGTATGAATTACCGCATACTTTTGGGCTTTTGACTTTTTTGTTGTCAGTACTTTTATGTTTTGTCAGTCATCACATAACGATTCTTTACTTACAAAAATTATTCTATATTTACCTCACTTGCTCCAATAATTACAATAGCTTCTTGACTCTCACCATTGACAGGCATATTTTGCGAGAAATTGAAAGGAGAGAATTCAGAAATACTCTCACTGCTTTTTGAACAAGGAGTTGTGTCAAGACTAGCGTATTAAATTATACTGCACTATTATACTCCAGCACAAGAGTAGGTTTTTGTTGGTATAAATAAAACCTTTCTCCACTAGCACTTCTAACGTGCATTGAACTGGTTTGAAATTGGTTCCAGTCATTCTACACCTGATGCACATGATGATCAGGATTGGCTTCAATGCCCATTAAGCCAAACCACCTGCATATGTGGTTTGATTGTGCATTTAATAGACCAGTTAGCGCTAAGTATATTCACAGTATTTTAAGTATATTCATCGTGATACCGTGAATAAAGTAAAACTTTTCTACCGCCATTTTGGGGTCATAGTTTACTAATAGTATAATAGGAGAAAGCAATAATGTTTCCTTCTGTAGGTCCTAGTGGCACTTATTAAAGTCCATAAGCCAACTAGAGACACTCGATGATGGTCAGTAAGTAGTAGCAAGATTGCTGTCATGAATGAATACACCAGTTTTTGGGGAATAAGCTCTTTTCATGATTGCTCCATAGACAACAATTGGCAGTGACTACAGAACCGTAAACGGTTTCTGTTGCGAAGTGCTTAAAGAGCCGGCATCTCGTTTTTCTCCGTAAAATAACCTTGTGCGCATGCGCATTGATGCAAATTGGAACTTAGTTTTTATCATGGATTCCTGAACTAGAGGATGCTCTAAAATAAAAAAAGTAAACCATAAACACGACCTTGGGGACTCCTAACATAACTAGGGGACTCCTAAAGTGACTAGGGACACTCTAAAAAAACCCGCCACCCTAACCCCTAAATCCTAAAAACAATAGCTAACTAGGGGACTCCTAACATAACTAGGGGACATGCTAACTAGGGGACTCCTAAACTAGTGGAAAAGGTAAAAATGAAATTGTATATAAGTAAAATAATTAAAAATGTAGATAAATGAGATTTGAACCAGCACCGCCCCACGTCCAAATGCAGCATTCAACTCCCTGTAGCTTGCCCGCTGTGCCAGCACAATCTCACTGCCAAAATCCACCTTGTTGTCATAATTATACTGATTGCTCCTATATAGGGGCGAAGCCCCTATAGGGGGCCAGGCCCCCTACCGGCTCTATAAGCCGTTGTTAAAGGAAACCGTTTACGGCGCAGGAGCCACTGCCACAACGATTGGAAGTGGGACTTCAAAATGGTGGCAGGAAAATTTTACTTTATTTACAGTATCCCGATAAATATACTCAAAATTCTATGAATATACTTAGTGCCAACTGGTCTTAATCAGAAATGCTATCAATATATACAAGATCCTGAAGATAGTGTGGAATCACTTGATGGGCATTGAATGGGCTTCAGTTTAGTTTTACATCAGTTCCAACCGCATTGCAAGTGTAGAAAGCCCATCAGTCATTCAGTAGCCTATTTGCCCTTGTTTCCATTATAATAGTTCAGGGATTTTGTCCAAAATTTGTCAAGAATGAATGGGAGAGCATTCTCTGTGTTATAATTTCTTTCTTATACGTTAGTATGCATGAATTTATATTATACAGAAAGTTTGAGCAAATACTGTTCAAGTTTGGATTTTGTAAGAATTTTCAGGAATATTTTTACATGTACTAGTGGTTAATTGGAGTATTTGGCAATGCTCATGATTATGGCACTAATATAATAATAATTATTAAAGTCAGTGGTAATCAAACTAATAAAGTGACTATGCTCTGATGAAAGTACCAATGAAGACAGTCGTGTTAGATTATAGTGTTATGACATTTAAAAATACTATGTAATTTATTATTCATCATTTTGCTTTGTTGTGGTCTTTCTCATTTTAGTCAACAATTTTGATTACTTTTTTGTTGTAAGTTTATCATGAAAGTTGACCAAGTTATGGTTTTTCCTTCAGAAATTTATTCCATATGATAAAGTTAACTATGTACCTTCTATATCATCTTCACATCAGCCAACTAGAACATAATATGTAGTATTCTTTTATTATAAAAGGACATTTATTTAATTGCTACACTATTAAGCACAGTGATTTAGCTCATAATGACAGAGAAAATCAAGCAGCAGCTTGAGGAGTTTCATGACTTTGATCATTATACAGCAGTGCAAGGAGATCAATGGATTCAGAATATGCATGAGCTATCAACTATCGGCAAGGAACTCCAGCTATCCTCTGTATCCACTGCTGCTCCAAATGTAGCAATTGGGCCTAAACAAAAGCAGTTATCTTGGAATAAACCGCTACTGTTGATAACAGTATTACTCTGTCTTATTTTGATATTATTAATGATTATACTGGGCTTTGTAGTGTATAATAAGTATACTAATGGTAATAATGTTTGGTGTACTTAGTACTAACACTGCCACTGGTTCTGGCAGTAGTAGTAATACAAATGATTGGGCTGATCGTATTGCTCAAAATATTAGCAAGAAAATTCCTAACTTCAATGAATGGGCTAATGGTGTTGTCTCTAAAGTTAACAGCAATGTAACAGGGAGCCTTCTTGACTTCAATGAATGGGCTGAAGGTGCTGTCTCTAAAGTTAGCAGCAATGTAACAGGGATCCTTCTTGACTTTGAATGGGCTAATAGTGTATCACAAAATACCCTTCAACTGTTTCATTACAATACCAACTTCACTGAAATAGATAAAAAATTTACAAACTACAAAACATTTTGAGAAAAAAGCTCATTAACATTCAATACTCTCTCTAATCTACAAGACACCAGTACCTCTACTGCTGGAGTGGTTGATGATATACACAAGAACTATTAGTACTACACAATAA